AACAAGTTTAAGTACAGAAACCTGGCAAAAGTACAGGATTTATAAATCTATCCAAAGGTATCAACCCAGATCATAAAGTGTGCATTCTGATCACGTACTTTTCCATACATCCTTCAAACAGCATGGCTAAAGAGATGCTACCATCAGCTTCTCAACTGGGCCCTCTTTCCCCAAAGCTCTTTGCCATATATCTGAGCTTAGGCCGTGCTCGAAAGAGGAAGGGAATGCAGAAGTGGAAGCGAAATTAATGCTGCTATAAGCAACATTAATTTATACCATGTGATTATGAAAGAAGCATTGCTGCAAAGAATGGCTCCTCAGTGGGGCACCCTCTCTCTCCTCCCACCCCAGCACATTGCCTTAAATCTCCCAAACCCCAGAGAGCTGTGGGAAAGTAGCCCCAATGGAGTCATAGGGTGGAGTTAATATGACATATTCCTTTCAACTGCTACTTTCGGTGACTTACTGCTCCACTTTGCTTTAAGTTTTCCCAGAAGCCCACTCTTCCAATCTGTCAGTCACTCTTCCATTTGATACTATCCCTGATTGTGCTTACAACTTTTCAAAATTTTGTGTTGTATGAAATTTGTATTAGTTGAATCTTTATCATCTACTATTAGTGGAAATATTAAGCAACATGCTTTCTATATCTACACACTGTATCTTATACTTGATGTTGTGTGCTATTTGTTTTGTTTGAGAAGGGAGAAACATACCACAGCTAAAGTTGTCAAAGAACACGTGAACCTCTGTACTCCATGTGCCCCTAATCTGGGAACACTGCCACTCCTCTTCCCTCCCAGCAGAGGAAATGGCAATGCAGCAACACGCTTCTCTTAAAGCTTTTCCCCACTGCTCTCATAGCAGCAGAGGGCAGTGCCAGGGAGGAGCAGGGGCTGAGGTGCCAAGTAAGCACCCCACTACTGTTTCCCCTCATGTCCTGACCCCACAGCACCTTCCCTGGCCTGACTAATTCTTTAATTTGGCATACCTTGTTTCCTAAAATTGCCAGATTAAAGAGGTTCAAGTATAAATCTTTAGTCCCATGTCTGCCTGCACCTTTCCTACTTGGTTGATCCTGTGCTGTTTCCTGGTTTCTCAAGCCAGACTAACGACCTGATATTTAAAAAAAAAAACATGTTGTTTTTTTAATTACTGTCCCCACATGGACTGGAAATTCAGCTTCATAATGACTTTAAACAATTTATTATTTTATAACAAAATTTATCAAAATAAACATAATATCAGCAAGTTTTATAATGGTAGCCTCTACCAGAAAATGTAGCTAACCAAACTTCACCTCATGAGGCAATACTTCATTTTTAAAACTTTTTCAGTAACCAAGATATTACCCCACTTCAAAAATGTAGCTATAAATATTTTCACTGATCAAAATAAATTGCACTTCCTTTCTTTCCAATAACTCTTAATATAAAGAGCTTTACATAAGAAAAAACCGGAGGTTTTTTCAGTTAGCACTGATGTAAACTGGTATATATTAACATGACTGACATTTTGAACAATAATGTTTCAAATTCTTTAAAACACACCAATAGCAGTCCTTTACTCTAGCTAATAAATAATATATCGAAGTTAATAGTTTAATTTTTGTAGATTTCAAATGTAACTATCATTACTTTGTTTCCAATGTTTTTTTTTTAATATTTATTCTAAATACTGAAATTTTTACCTTGCAGATTCCCTGTAGCTACAAATAGTTATAATATTGAACTATTACATGGTTTTTAAAATCACCTTAATACTTTCTATGAACATATTTTATGTATAATTTAGGGTTGCCAGGTGTCAGGTATTGTACCGGACAGTCCGGTATTTGCACACTCTGTCCGGTAAAAAAAAAATAAAAAATTCCAGACATGTGCAATGTCCAGTATTTTCTGACTTTTCCGGCTGCACACCGGACAGAAGCCTGACAGGGGTGGGGGGAGGGGCTGGGAGTCCCAGCTGGGAGGTGGGGCCGCGATTGCCTCCGGGAGCCCTCGGTTGAGTGGGCGGAGGAGGG